GTGAGAGAGAGAGAGAGAGAGTGTGTGTGTGTCTGTCAGTCAGTCTGTCTGTCTGTCTGTGTGTGTGTGTGTGTGTGTGTGTGTGTATGTGTGTGTGTGTGTGTGTGTGTGTGTGTGTGTGTGTGTGTGTGTGTGTGTGTGTGTGTGTGTGTGTGTGTGTTTATTATCAGCATCACCAGTTCACATTTTGCAACCTTCTTATTTGATTTGCATCTGCAGATATAAATACTCACCCTGGAGGACACCTTTTAATAGTATCCCGCTTCGAGTCATCCTCTTCCAGAAACAACCCCCCTGATTCATGCGTCTGGTTGAATGACTCAAAGGTGATGTCATCAAAGTCAGGCTCAGGCTCAGGCTTTGCCAGTGGCGGCTTTTCGGCCTTAAAGGCACTTCTAATCACACTTGTTTCATTGGTTGACCTTTTCAAATCAATTTCCCCCTGAGCGCTCGAGTGTTTAGGAGTGATAAACGCCGCCACAACATTGGTGGAGGTCTGCAGAGGGGTGGAGCTCTCACAGCAGGAGAAGGGCCACGGAGGGGGCGGGGCTACTATCAGCTCTGAGTGGGCAGGACTGGGGGCAGAAAGGTTGGAGGTCAGCCGCGAGAGATGAGCGGGTGAGATTTCACGATGCCGAGCGTGCAGAGAGTGATTGGNGGGGGGGGGTGGGGGGAGATAGCCCAGCAGGCCACAGAGCAGACCCTAAAGTTATTCCAAGATTAATGCAACTGGAGGGTACAACACACTTTGCAGCTGTTAGCCCACTGTTAGCATCAAAAAAGCACAAACACCAAGCACAGAGCAACCACAAAACCTTGAGCAATAGTGTCAGTGAAATCTTGATTAACAAACACAGTACATTTTTTGTTAACCACAAGATTTTCAGCAAGCTGAAGCAGTTTTGTCTCAGTCAAAATAAATAGCGTGGTGTCATTTGGATTATAATGAGTTTCAATAGCATTGAAACTGAGAGTTAGACAAGGAGATCAATATGCTCAGGCCTGTCGGTTTATTAGAAAGCTACCACCAGCAGTCAGTTAGCTAAGCAAAGAACATATAACGTTGCTTGTTTATGTGCAAGACTATTTCTGGGCCGGTCTTAGTTACTTCATGGACTTTCTGAAGTGTATTGTACACATTAACCAAAGCAGATTAGGTGCTGTTTTTTTGGGACAGAGCAGGGTTAGCTATTTTCCCTGTTTCCATTGTTTATGCTACGCTAAACTAACTGTCTCCTGGTTGAAGCTTTATATTTAACAGACAGACCTAAGACCGGTACCAATGATTTAACCCTTTGCCAAAAAGCTAATGAGCGTATTTCCCCAATTGCTGGTCTATTTTTGAAGCAAGTGTATAGATGAACTCTCTCTGCTTGCTTTTATGAGTATCTGTGTCCATGTTTCTCCCAAACTCTGCTATCTGCCACCAGTTTTCAAGACGCCTCTTCTTTAGCTCTGTGGTCTGCTGACACATTTTGACTTCACACAGCATTTCGGAGCCAAACAAACCTCTAAAGGATCCAAACCAAGCAACCTAAATGTAAACACTCATGTAATACATCCCATGACCTCACCTGATCCTTGCTGGTTCAGCTTTGTTTTCTGGGATGGCTGCCTTTGAATCCTGGGCTGGTCTGATTAGCTGGTTGGATACTCTGAAGTTGGCCTCTGTCCGGTTCTTTTGAGGAGAACACTCGTCTTGGCTCAAAGTTGTTTCCTCGTCTACTTGAGTGAGGGGAAACAGTGAGCCTAGAAAAAGGACAGATAATGAAAGAAGTTATAAACAAAGGAAATAAAGGGAAAAAAAGCAAAAGCAAGAATTGATGAAACATATTCCCTCTTTGAGGGATCGCTGCAAAAAAGAAGAGTTTAGTTATTCAGCTTAAAAATGCTTACAAATTAGACATCTTCATTATATCAATTAGCACAACTCAATTGACTCAAATAAACTGAGTTAGGATTGTTTTCATTTGATTGCTTATGGTCCCATGGCCAGTGCCCTTGCAACACTGAGTTTGGACCCCCCTGTGTCCCCCCCTCCAAAAGACAAAAAGTATGATAATACCATTTCTGATAGTGTTGCAGAAAAAGACTGTATTGTCACTTGTTTTTTTATAATATAATGAAAAAAAACTGTAACTTAGTCATTGATTAAATGTATGCTCCTAAAGAAAATACTAATAAAGGTATTTTATTAGGTCTGTTTTTTTATGGTGCTATGAATTTATACTGAATTAACAGTAGTGGTGGTGGTCTAACGGGTAGTGGTGGTCTAATGGATGGTGAGGCGGGCTGAAAATCGGAAGGTTGTGAGTTCAAATCCCGTCTGGAACACCACCACTAGTGTGCCCTTGAGCAAGGCACTTAGCCCTTAATTACTCCAGGGAGAATGTCCCTGTAATTGGTAATTGTATGTCGCTTTGGATAAAAAGCGTCAGCTAAATGAAATGTAATGTAACATTTCTGAAATCTTCACCATGGTCTTTGTGTCTT